CGTCTCGAGGTCTCAGTCTACACAGTACTGAACAGAAAAATGTAGGCACACGTCAGTGGGATTCGAACCAACGATCTGACTATTCGAGTGGTAAAACCCACGCCTTAGACGGCCATTGTGATCTGTTAGCGGCTTCATAGCCTACGCGTAGTAATCTAAACATTATCTGAGCCCTGCATTTGCTCTAACATTGCAAATTAGGCCTATTAAAGTTCCGGAGAAGGACGATCTTCGCGCCGTTAGATGATGAGCTGAGGATGTTTCAGGGTAGGTCAAGAGAAGTTTTAATTAAGCAATTCGTTTCCTCTTTTATTTCCACGGCTCTTCCTGTTTTTTGTCAGTGTTCCGGACCCTCATCAACTTGTGTCTATGACGGTCTGGCGAGCGAATGAGCGAGAGAGTACGTGGTTGAGCTTTAGCCAACTAGCTTGCTCATATCCGTTCCCAAATTGATGCATCCGGGCAAGCCGTTGTAGCAACACATTCTGCTTATACCATGATGCTGTAACATTAGTAACTGGTTATGTGTGAAACGTGTCAGAATACACCGCGCCTTCATTAGACAATGCTGCATGTATGTCTTTAAAACAGCCATGATTTAGGGATGGTTAAATGCCGAAAGTTCATCACGTAATTTCGCAAGTGAGGCTCTTTGTAGGATATAATAAATCTGATATAATCGCATCATAATACATATGACATTTTACGTGTTTTCAGTGTCCCATGTTGAGTCTCGACCAAGGTCTCGTCTTGTAAAGTTGTGTATGGGTTGTCATTCTTCTAGAAGAATGAATTGGCAGTAGGCCTACTTCGAGATTAGAAACCATGTGTGTGAAATACAACTAGCATTAATTCCTTTTCTTTGTTAGCAATGTTGCAGGTCTGCACCGTAAATTTCGAATCGTGTCTGTCTGAAATTACCATTACGTACGTTCATCAGATCTGTTATGTTACAGAACCTGGTATTCAAAGTAAACACGAATAGTTCGCTAGAGTATAAATATTTTGTACTTTATATGATGTATTCGATCGGGCCTGCTCATTAGAATGTTACCAACAACGTCCGCATTATTAGCGTTTTGACAGGCTGTATGCATCCTGCACAAAGTCTTTGTCTTAAGTTAATACTTATTGTGATGCAAGGTTTTTGTGTTTCTAGCTGAGTTGCTACGCTGCTGTGATAACGTGACGGGAGAAGATCGGTATAATTTGAATTCTGCTTTGTGAGAGGAACGGAAAACTTGCACATGTGCACATACATCACGGGCCTAAATTTTTGCATTGAATTTTAGATAAAGTTTAAATTATTTATAGTTTATTTAACGACGCTGTTTCAGTAGCGCCGAGTGAGAGGATGATAGTTTATAATGGAGTCGGAAAGGATGTGGGAGGAAGCGGTCGTGGCTTAATTTAAGGTACTACTCCACCAGTTGATTGGAGGTACTGGGTAAAACCACGAAAAAACAGCCAGGATAGCCGGTCTCCATGCTGAGATTTGAGATCGGGACCTTTCGAATACAGAGTAGGAGTGTTAACCGCTCAACCACGACGGTAGTAGGTTCTGAAAGAAAGCTGTTGAAATAATCAGCCCGAAATCAATCCCGAGACAGTAAACGTTTAAGCAGAAGTCTAAAACGATAAAGTTTTTAACGGCCTTAAAAAATCAACACGACATGCTTGTAGCTCTGTAGGTTGTGTTAATCTCAAAATTGAGACCAGTTTCACATAGGTGTAATGTTGAAGATGGTCAGATGTTAGGTGCAAGGTACATAAACTGCAAATTTTTCCTGTTGCAAATATTTTTGGAACAGCCCTCTTTATATGAATTAATGGAAAGCATCGTACGTACTTTCCATCCTGTTTTATTCTGGCAACGAGCCCACACTCAAGAATATCTTGTCTCCTCACGTCACTGTCTGACAGGAGAAGTGTGGAACAAATTACATGAGGTGGTGGGCCGTACACCTTGCGTAAATATTACTCTCTACGACTTACCGTTTGATGGTGCCAGCAAAAATGAATGGAAACTATGGTCGTCATCTTACATTTCACAGCAACTTCTGTTTTTCTTCCCTTTTCCGTCTGCCCTCGTCACTGTTATCCTGTTATTCATTCACTTCCTCTTTGTGCTTGTCTGCGTTTCTCGTCTTCGTATAGAAGATGATTCTGAGTTCTGTTGCGGAAGGATATGTGTGAAGGGTGTTGTTTGTGGTACTGCGCTGACATTAGCTTGAATGTGCTACGGAAACAAGCGGATTTCTCTGTTTTTCGGATGTAGAATCAAACTGGCTCTCCGAATACGAAGCAGGAATTGCGGTCTGTGTATGACCACGACACAAATTTGTACTCACGTTTCCAAACACAAAGCCCGAGCGCCGATAGCTACGCTGTTTAGGTTTCACAGTCCTTATATTTCTACTAATTTTTGCCTTTGTTAAATTTGATATTTTGATCTGTTCTTATAAGCCTGAGATCAGGTAGATCGAAATGTATCAAACCATTGCTGCGTTTTGTTGTTTTTCTTCGTAAGACGAGCGGTTTTTACAATAATTGAACTTTATAGATGTATATATTTGTTAAACGCGGTGCACCTTTGAAGCCCTGTTTTCGCAGTAAGAGCTAAACATTGAATGTTCCCCCTTTAACCGATGACAAATTCGCAAGCAAACTAAGTAAATTGGCTTCATTTTTCGATGTATTTCTGATATCTCTAGTGAATGTGCATAGTGTTAAGAGAGTTCTTTGACTGCTGTTGGATTTTGAATTTGCTGTAATAATAGTAGAGACTTGGAATACCGGATATTGCAGCCGAGATTATATCGGTTGAATATAGTTATATCCAACGATGATATTTCGGTACACAAGTTTTTTAGTGTCTGATGATATGGGAAAATGATCGTGAGTGGTGAGTAGGATTTGGAAGGAGGTGGCCTCCGTTTGTTTTAGGACAGTTTCCTGTCTTGTAATACGCTTTGAGACAATAAGGAAGCAACGATAAATCTCGCGATAGCAGCACCTCCGGAATACAATTAAGATAAATTCTGTTTGTTCGAAGAAGGTAATTTCATTATTCTTTTTGTAGGCAACCTTAGGCAAGTAACGTTGTGTACGTTCAACGATATCTCCCGTATGGCGTTTGTAGTTACTAGTGCTTCTGTGTTACATAATGTCATAACCAATCTTCGCGAATTAATAGATTTACATTTGTAAATAATGTCGTTATAAACTGTCTTTAAACAAGAAATGTCCCATATCAGGGAGTATTTTATAAGTAAGTGGTCACGATTGAGATAAACTAAGTGTCTGTGTGTGTTGGTATTTATGTTAATTTCTGATGAACGTAGTACGATTGATTTCATGTTGTTCCTGCAGTTGTGTTTGTACCAGCACTACATTCTAACCCGCGTTACCTCGCTGTGGGTGAAAAGACTACCGATTCACGATGTAGGAAAACCAAAGGAAATATTTTCTTCTTAGAAGTAATTTTATGTGCTATAAACTCTTAGAGAAATATTTTAATATTTTTCTAATGTTAAACATTGGATATTAAATTCAATTCATTTATTTAAGTGCTTGACCACAGCCAAAAAGGCCAATAACAGCCAAGCACTAACTAGAGTACAGGATAAAATATAATAAATAATTAAATTCATTTCAAAATAATAAAAATAAACATTTAAAATACAAAAACAAACAAATGAAACTAAATATATAAATGTACCATATTAGTAATAATAATTCAATTCATTTATTGAATAATAATAGTTCAATTCCTTTGTTGCGTTGTTGAGTGTTTGCCAACAGCATATTATTTATAATAAAAAATATCAAACTCTGGAAAATATTTATTTTCCCGGCAGCCATCTTAATTCAATGAAACCCACGTGTTCAGTTTATCATGGCTAAAATAACGACGATGTCTGTTGTATGTAATCAGAAATATAGGAAGGTTGAAACAATTGGATATGGTTTTCTTCTGGGTTGTTGCGT